GGGGGGGGGTTTCCACCACCAAATGTGTGGGAGACCCCCCCCAGCCCCCAAGTCTCCCTGGCTCAAAGATCAGCTGCAGGGGGACCCTGGGTGGCCCCCCCAGACCCAGGAGGTACCAGTCGCCCCCCGCACTCCCATGGGATACTCTATCTGCCCCGGCATCTCAGCATTCATGAATCGCCTGGTACTGTGAGGTATGTGGGGGAAAAATTTAAAGCTGCGTCTATGTCTGGATCGTTGAATCTTTCCAAATCTATTTGGAGGGTTCCGATTCGATTCAGAGAGATTAAAGGGTTTCCTGATTCAATTCGGATTCAGAGATTCAGCCACCGAACCTGGCTGAATCTCCGCTGAATTGAATCAGCAACCAAAGCTTCGCACAGCCCTAATAAATAAGTGCATCTTGACTATTTTGTGTATAGTTGGTAGGGGAACTGAGCAAAAATATATGTAGGAGCACAGATTAAATGAGTAGGTATAAACTGTAAACATACCCCAAGTGTATTATAAAATGTCTACATTGGGATGCTCATGAAAAACAGGTATTTCAGACTATATCATGATGGAGAAAAGGCCTAAAACTCAAGTTCTGGGTCTAGTAGGAATAAGAAGGGAAGGAAAAACACCTCAAATGGACTATGTGACAGGTAGATTTTAGTTCCTCCACAGCTGAACACAGCTGCCTTGATTCTCTATACTAATTCTTTCAGATGGCATATGTAAAAGTATCTAAAAGTGTTCCATATCATACAGTGGAAAATATGTTTTATTTTAATAAGCTCTGACTCACCATGTCCCCTCATATGATCTCGCAGTAACCTCTCATTTGCAAAGTGTTTGTTACAGTTCTGACAAGCAAATATTTGTTCTGAAATATAAGCACATGAATCAGTGATAAAATAGATTTTAACAGATGTTTTTAAAAGAAATGTTTTAGGGTTTTCATTTTAATAGTTAAACTAATACAGGAATGAGTAAAATGTAATATTCTTTTGCATTATATTTTTCTGATGTTTATGCTGATTGTAGAATTTTCTTTAGCAATAAGTTAATTTTATCCCTAATAAAATATCTATCTAATCAGAAACATTAATAATCTGAAACCTGCTAAGTTTTTTCCATGGTACCACTTATCTGAATAAGGTTACCATAGTACCTGAGCACTTTCCAAGTATTTAAAAACTGAAAGAACAATCTTTTTCCTGAGCTGGAGGAAAACTATCCCAATTGGTTTACAGGTTTTTGAGAAAGAGGATGTCCAGAAAGCTTTCATCTTATTCTGAAAGCAGTTAGCTCAATGAGCATTGCAATGACTTGCAAAAGCGAGTTCCACAATCTAAATCCTGCTCCATTAAATGTTGTCTCCTGTATTTGAGAACTTTTGTCATTCATGTGCTATTTCTGACCTCTAAGGCCCAAACACTTTGGGCACAGACAGAAGTTACATCTATCACACAATCAGCCCCCAGAAAGCACTCTACAGCTGTACCGTGACATATACATGGCTGCAAAGTGTTTTTAAAGTGGCCAATCATGCAAAAAATTAACCCTCCTCAGATGAAGGATCAGATGAAGTCATTCCACTTTACAGCACCTTAAGGAACTTGTGTTCTTTAGGGTTAATTTATGACATGATCAGGAAGTTGAGGGAGAGAGGTGGCTTCTCTGTTGCAGACAGGCTCCTGGAGCTCCTGCAGGGAGGTTCAATCCCACCCACCCTAACCCAATAGGTGAACGTCTGTTGGGGGGGGAGGGAAGAGACCGCTCTAACTCATGGCACTTTAAGTAAAGGGATTAGTAAAGCCTTATTTTTACTATGTGATGGCGTAGCAGTAAGATGGATACGCACTATGTTCAAACATGGATTTGTGGGCATTCTCTCTCTTTAGCTTATTTTCCAATTCGACAGTTAAGTCTGGGCATCACTATTCAGCCAAAAGTGCTTCCATACTTTACAAAGATAATTGCTTTGGTAAAGTAAAGTATATTACATGCAACTAAAACATGTGAAAATAAATGTGTGTGTATAATACAAAAATAAATATATGTGTATAATACTATAAACCAGCCCCAATGAAAATTCTTTCAATTAAAAAATCCAAAACAGTAATAGAGCAAATTCACTTACTATCCTTTGAAACCTGTCGCTTGATATGATCAAAAAACTTGGTGTTATTGGAGAACATTCCTCCACAAGAGGGACAGGCCACAACTCTTTCTTGAGTGTGGGTTCTTAAGTGATCCCTTAACTTGTGCTTTCCTTTAAATATTCCTAAACAGTCTAAAAACAGAATAGTTTTTAGTACTTTATTCTCTTCATGAGTACAAACAGGGAAAATGCTATTATACACTAATACTCTAGCACAGGGGTCTTCAACCTTTTTTAAGGCGTATACCCCTTCTGGGTACACTTCTGGCGGAGCGGGGAGTAGGGGACAGGTGGAACAGGCTGGATGCGGAGCTGGGGGGACTTGCACACGGCAGCAGCATGGCGTGGTGAATGGCGGCAGCAGTCACTGAATGCAAGCTCCTGCAGCTAGAACCAGAATACCTGGTTCTAGTTATGAGTGGGGAGCTAATTAAATGGATCCTTTATGGGGGTATCTGGAGTACACACACGTAGTGAGCAGTGCTGAGCTCTAGGATCACCATGGCTTGAAATGCTGTTGACTCTGGTGGGGCCCAGCCCAATGAACTATATGGCAAATCATGTACCTTTTGGCTTTGGGCCAGCATATAGTTTGTACTATATCTCAATAGGTACAAAAGTATTGCTTAAATGTGTGTTTACTAACTTGCAGCAGTTTCAAAAAAGGTGAAATGCATCAATTGTGGATGAACTAAGTCTATGGGTATTATTTGCACATTACTACAACTGTTTATTTCAAAGTGAGTGTTTTCAAATTTGCCCCTCACTTCCATGTACTCGGGGAGAGCAGGTCCTGACGTTAAGGAGGGAGGAGGCAGATAAAAGGCCACAGGGGGAAGAAGTTGGAGGAAATGGATAAAGGGTAAAGGGACTTGACCCCCCCGATTTATTTTCCCTGTTGTAGCACTGGGAGCAGGACTAATTCAAGGCAAACCTCCAATAATTAGATTCTAGATCTGGAAAATGATAATGAATTTATACATTTTCCATATATAGAATCAAATTATTGGTAGGCTGTTTTATACTCAGGGTCATCTTCTATTCAAGTAAATATGGTACCTGAGATTGCTGAGGAAAGGTTCATTGCAGTTATATTCATGTGCTTCATGGAACACTAGGAGTATGTTATAGTGAAAGTGAAATGATTAGGACAAAATTTAATATTTTCTATTTTATACCTTTCCAATGGCAACAAACAACATTCTTGTTACCGGAAACAGTTTCTTTTTCAGTACCGTAGGCATGCATGGCAACATGCTGATAAAACCATTCTGGATTACTGAAGGTAACCTGCAAACAAAATGGAACTATGATAATGACTCAATAATGTTGGCAAGAAGTCGAATGATAGGAACGTACGCAATAAAAGAAGTGACTTTTCAAAAGCAAACAGAGAAGCTAATTATTGCAGTGAGCATTTGGGAGAAATAAGTCACTCCACAGAGAGAGGGGCTTACTATGCTAGCTATGATGGAAATATGAAACACACTGGAGTTCATTCTACATATATGAAATCCTGAGTAAGACCCTTTATATACCAGCAAAGATACAGTCAATTTTAACCTAGTTACTCCCAACTCCTTCTTTTGTTAGACCCCTTTACTCTTCATGGTGCTGCAAACAGAAGCTGCATCACAGCACATTCTGGAAAAACTGTCTCCATCTTTTTTACCTTCTCTAAACTTATTTTCCTTACATTTATCTGTATTTTTCTTATTTTCTTTTTTATTTATATTTTTTGCTCCCCCTGACTGTCCTCCCACTAACCCGAAAATTATCAGTATAGGTTAGAGTGTAAATGGGTGGCACATTGTATCTCATTGTCAGTAAGTTTGAGGGATCAAAGGGCTTCTCTATGTGGCCCTGTGTGTGTCTACACATGTGTTTTAATGCGCAGAACTAGGTTACTGTGCATTAAAGTGTCACGGAAAAAACTGTGACATTATGCTAGTGCACAGTAAAATAGTCTACTGTGCGTTAAGCATCACTAAAAAGTGTGCAAATGCACTACTGTGCATTAGCACAACCTAATGTGCATTAATGTATGTGTAGCCACACCCATCCACATGAAAGTGAAAGCAAATTCACTAAAGGTGTTAAACTACAGTGATCTAAAACCTAAAGCCATTTTACTCCAGAATGAAAGTGTCCACATGGGAGTTTAACATACAGACAAGTTTCTGTGAAATAAACTAAGGCCTGAATTTACAGCCCATCTGCTGTAACTGCCCATATGCACAACTTATCCTACATAGCTTACATCATTTTTACTGAGGGGTAAGCTACCTTGCATTAATGATGCATAGCTGTGGGAACACATTTGCAACAGAGATAGGAAAAAAAGAAACTTGCTAGCTTCTGTGTATCTTACCTGATATTTCTGAAGTAGTCTGGACTGATTACCAAGTTGGGAAACACTGTTTTCAAATTCATAACACCTTTCAGACTAAAACGAGTGTGGATAAATCTTCTAAACATATCCATTTTAGTCCAAAAGGTATTATGAATTTGAAAATAGTGTTTCCCAACTTGGTAATCAGTCCGGACTCATTCAGAAAGATGGGGTAGGATATGCTTCTGTTACTTAGATGGGGATAATATTAAAGAGAATACTTTCTCTTAATAAGTGAGAGAAACATATTTAAGTAGAAAAAAAATACATGAACATCCATAAAAATACTCCCCCATCAGAACAAGTCTCTTTTTACATACTCTACACAAGAGGCCTTGATTACTGGCCTAAAAAAAGTTCTCTTTTACTTAACTGATCTACCTCTTTCAAATAAAAAGGGTCTTGCAACATATAAGATCAGTTTTTGCCAGTGTACATATACACATACACACACTTATTTTTTTAATATAATTTTCTTTTTAAACAATTTCAGAAAGGTAATCCCTTATGTTATAGAGCTGAACGGAAATGATGCTTGCAGATGAAACTGGATAACCAATTAAAACTTATGACAGAACATTTTTATGTCTATTTGGGGCATTACTTTGACAGCCCTGGTTTAGAATAAATCTGACTACTTTCAATTTGCAGGATATATTCTTTTAACATAGGAAAAACAGTGCTTTAGTCAGAAAAGGTCCAACAAAAAGAATACTACGATTTCATAGACATTAGGGATGGAAGGGACCTCACAAGATCATCAGATCCAGCCCCTGGCCCAAGGGGCAGGGAAAATAAAATAAACAAATCACGTGGGATTTAAGACAAAAGGGGTTGCCTTACGGGTTTAAGACAAAATTTAATTAAAATAAACAAGTTGTAGATGTTGTAGTAAACTGTTTTTTCATACACTTTGACAGATGATAGAAGGCATTGTTAAAAGTAAACGGTAAAAAATTGAGCAGTGGGATTTCTATCATTTTCAAGAGCTGGTGGAGGAAAGATTACAGTGGAATTAGAAGGGAGGAAAAAAATAACATTAGCACATGCTTCACTTACGTCACACTGCTCCCAATGACAAATAAACACCTCTGAAATCTTTGGTATCTGATTCTGGTTATGGATATTCTGGGAACATACTGGCAAATCTTGATGTGCGGACTTAAGCTGAGAACCTATGAATTTCAACTTGGTGTGGTAACCATGAAAATTTATATGAGTTACCAGTTCCCTGGGACCTGCAGCCAAAAAGTCACAACTTCTCCACCAACACTGGTACTGCTCTAAACATAAGAAAGAAATAACAGTTCACTGAATGCTGTATAGTATCTGGGACTGTGTGCAGCAAAGTCATAATGCATAATAATTGCATGTATTTTTGTTGATGATTTACTGACTTCTAAGTCTATCTAGAACAGTGAATAAGTACTATATGCAAATAATGAAATAGCTAAACTATTTAAATGTAAAAACTTTGCATTCTCTTAAAACTCAGACAATTCTAGTATACTAAAGCTTTAGCAAATGGAAGTTCCCTCAAAAAGACAGATCTGGGGGAACTTCCACTTGCTAAAGTTTTGGTATACTAGAATTGTCTGAGTTTGCCTACAGTGCTAGAAAACATCCATCCTATTTAACAGTTCCCCAGTGCTAAACATGTTACTGAGTGATATAATGTTATATCATAATAATGTTTGGAGGCTTGGGCCCTTTTGTCTTAAACCCTGAATGTACAATAAATGACTTGCCCTCAAAATCTTGTACTTTCAACTTAGCAAAACAAGAGACCTATATTCACTACAGCCACCCACCTTTTTATTGCCATGTGAAATTTTAAGTATCCAATCCTTCGGAGCTATATTTGAGTAATTAATAACTAGCACAATCCAAATTATTCAAATACCTGGACACAACGAATACATTTGGAAATGCCAAGGGAAATCCAAAGTATTTAACAGCAAAAAAGAGGATTGTCTATTTCAGGTTTTTGGTCTGGACACTGAGGGCAATTTTACACATGTAAGTGCCGCAAAGTGCCCGGTGCTGCATCACTTACAGTTGTATAAGCAGCAAAATGCATGTCAGCATGCAGAAAATGGCGGTGGCGTGCTTTTGAACTAAAACACATAGAAGGTGTTTTAGTTCAAAAGTGCACTGCTGCCATGTACACTGACGTGCATTTTGACTTGGTTAATCAAGTCTGCTCGAGTGTGCCAGATCTCCAGGATGTCTGGGCACGTAAATGTATGTGTATAAAATGCCGTGATTGTTGAATGGTTCCTGACTTGATAGGGCAAAACTTGAAGTCAAAAGGATAGTATGAAAATAGACAACAGATACTTTTTGTGAATGCTAATGTGGTATCATTAATTCAAAGGTATTCACGTCATTACTCTGTTCCTCCAGCCTGTCCTAATTTTAGCCAGTTTTTAGATTTCTGAAATTTGTGAATGATTCCATATGGGTGCAAAAATCTGCCCCCACACATCCAATTTCAGAATAATGATCCATGCAATATACAAAAATACGTAATAAAATATCTCCATCAGGGTAATGAAGGGCTCATTTCATTATGCCGAGTTTTCCTTTTCCTTTAATTAAACTTAATCTAGTATCTACACCAGCAATCAAAATTGTGGTATTAGTGTTTGGAAGAAAGGTTAGGATTCATAAGATCCACAATAGTTATATTAAACATCTAGTAAATTAGTGCTACTTATCATCTAATAAATTAGTCTACTTACATTTTTCAGTGGTATCAAACTCTGAATTTTTCTTGCAAGTTATATCACCAGAAACTAAATACTGTTAGCTTAGCCACAGAATTTAGAAAAACTTGCTCTTGCCACGTGTGCTCTGCATTGACTCCAATCAAACTCCAAACTCCATCTTAAACTTATAAATCTTAAATAGGGTTACCATATTTCCAGTTTCAAAAAACAGGACACCTGTCAGGAGGGCACCTCACTACCAACCCACAGAATCCTGGCCCTGCCAGTGCCCCTCACTCCCAATCCACAGTCCCTCGCCTCTCCCTGGGCCACGCTAATGCCCTTCACTCACAACCCACAGCCCCAGGTGCTGCCAGGGCCCTGCACTCTCAACCTCCACCTCACTTGTGCCCCTCACTCCCAAGCCACAGTCCCTTGAGCCTTGCTAGTGCTGCTCACTCCCAACCT